TATATTCTGTTCTTATAATCGATATAAATAAACACAATTATGATGGTATTTTATTTTATATAAGTAAATAAATATAATACGTTAGAAACTGCATTTTAAAGTTGAAAATTCTTAATGTACTCTTCAATAATATACTAATATTTAGCGTAAAATAAAACTTTATGTGGAAACGAGTTCGATACCAGAGATAGCTTTCTTTCGATTCAGAATGTCGAAAACAACAATCCATATGATGTCTTCTAAGAATATCCCCGGAAACTCACTGATGTCCTAGGATAGAAGATATAGAGATATAGGAGGTATAGGAGGTACAGGAGATATAGATTAACTGATACAGCTAATCATTCAATAGTGTTTAAATTTAAACATCTATTCATAAAATATATTGGTGCCAATTGCTGATCCTTGCTCGAAAAAATCAATCATAAAAAATAAATAACTGTTTACTATGTCTCCTACATCTCTGTATCTTCTATACCTCCTATACCTCCTATATCTCCCATATCTATATATCGCTATACCTCTTACCCTGGGACATAATTGAGTTTCCGGGGATATCCTCCGAAGACATGTAATCCAACAATCACTGAATGTAAAAGATTTCACATCATCAGACTAATAGTTTTAGAAGAAAGAAACATCTTATGATATCAACAAATGTATAGTCATGTGTAAAGTAAAAGAATCACTCTATGAATTCCCTCTCGGAAAAAATTAAGTTAGATAGATAAAAAGTCACTTACAAAAAAACAGTTTACAATACACTGGAAAAAAAATAGGCACAATACCGAACCCAAAAGGGTTTTTTGGACTAGAAAAAGATTTCGCACCTTGTACGGAACCTAAAAGGGTTTCGATTTCGTTTCAATTCTCTGAATCCTTTTAGGTTTCCTAGATAGAACTACGAAACACTTGAAAAAGTATTCTAACTCTATGACGATTATTTTCAGGCAACTGAAGTTTTTACGAAACCTTATTGAGGGTTCCGTATTCATTTTAAAAAGTGTTTGATAATCATACTAATTTTTTTCTAGTGCACCGAACCATTTTCGAAATAAATACGGAACCCTCATAAGATTTCGTAAAAACTTCGGTTGTCTGAAAATAATCGTCATAGACTTAGAATATTTTTTCAAGTGTTTCGTAGTTCTATCTACAGAACCTATAAGAATTCAGAGAATTGAAACGAAATCGAAACCCTTTTGGGTTCCGTACTATGTACGAAATCTTTTTTTTAGTCCAAAACACCCTTTTGGGTTCGGTGTCGTACCAATTTTTTTTTCAGTGTAATCACGATCACGTCTTCGAGGTCTTAATGATGGTGTTTCAAAACGATCAATATCATGTGTTGTTGTTGAAACAGTAGAATCTATAAAAATTATAAAGAGTTGTTTTGAAATCAACAAATCTCAGGATTGAATTTTTTTGAGATTTT